GTTGTAAAGACATAATGTTAAAAATTATAACACTAATATGTAGTAGTATTCACGTATTATAAACAACAAACAACACGTCCACTCCAAGCAAATGCACGTCGCGAATGAGCACGTCGCGAATGAGCAGTTTTAATAAGTACAATGTTGCATTATTACTGTTTCTCTCTCTAAACCTTGTTTCAATACGTTCAGCTATTTAGGCGTTACTGAGTAACAAACAGACAATTTTTTTATTTTTTTTATTTTATACAACTTAGAATGGCAAACAAGCTGACGGTCCACCTGATGGAAAGTGGTAACCGTCGCCTATAGACATGAGCAGTACCATGGAAATAACAGAATGTATTGTTTCGCCCATGATACCCCCCATGCGTTGCCATTCCTGAGGACTCAGGTGTTATTCCTCTGTACCCTGTAAATTCACGCCATATCCCACCCTTCAAACCGAAACACAGCCATGCAAATAAAACTGCTTCACGGTAGAAACACGAATGGGACAAAGGTACCCAAGCAATCGACTTTTGTACAAAGTCTCCCTTTGGTAAACATATTTAAACATCTATCATCATAATGTCATATCAGCGATTAACTGTCCTTCGTGGACCATAGGCCTTCAAAGGCAGTAGCGTCCTTCTTAAAATGTCGTCAAGTCTAACTACAGTTGTCAATCCGCATGCAAAGTGTGAAACTACTAGCAAAACTCACTCTCATGGGGAAAACTAAACATCTATAATACCTATAAACGCTTTAAATTATAATAGGATAAGAAATACGCACGTGACACCCCTAGTGTTGCAGGCGTTCATAGTCTACAGTGACCGTTTACCATTAGACGGGCTGTATGCTAGTTTGCTACCTTAGCGGTGTAAAAAAAATCTAATATTATTACTAGTTTCTATTCGTCCTATGTGACTGGGATCTTTTAATTGACAATTATAACAATAGCCTATGGACTTTTCTGTCCCAAATATTATATGTAAGATTAGCTTTTCAAAAAAAAAAACACATAAGATTTGTTTTACAAAAAAAAAAAAGAAAAAAAAACAATCGTGACAATTACTTATTTTGATTTAAAAACTAAACTACTGCATTTATCTGAAAAAAAGATTTTAAACAACCAATCTGAAAGTATGTCCTTTTACCAGAAAAAAAATCTAAATCGGTTTTAAAAAAACCATAAAAAATATACAACCGAATTGAGAGCCTACTCTTTTATTGAAATCACTTGAAAATTTCATGATGATTGGTTCAGTAGTTAAACAAAGGAACAAATTCAAGTAGCTATAATGCGGGAAGGGATTGTTAGTAAGGGAGACTGAGAATCCCATTGCTAGCAATATACCCAACCAGGTCGACCTCCTCGCGGTTCCCCCTGGAAACTATCATGGTTAATACCTGATGAATTCATCATGATGGGATTACTGGCCTGTTTTCATTCTCATCTATCACCCTTCACTGGTACTCCGCCAGCGTATCCCGTTAGCGCAGGCTATCATACCATTTTCATCCTATCTATCTATCTGTTTAAGAGCTGCGCTCTTGTCGGTGGAGCTCTTGCCACTCACTACAATTTTCAGCGAGTTTCTTCACCTCTTGATACGACACGACACCAACGCCTTCCATGATCTACCTGATGTAACTATGTCTCGGTCTCCCTCTCCTTCCTTCTATCTTAACTTCTATTATAATGTTCATAATTTCGTCGTGTCGTATCAAGTGTCTCAACATTTTTCCTTTTTTTTTCATTTTTCATTTTCACTAATCAAAAAAAAAGTAGCTATAATGCTATATTTTAACTAGATATTTGTATCATATTTTGTTCACATGCAAAGTAGCCACATAGGACTTGTAACACGGCATAATTTACAAGATGGAGGAAAGATGAAAATGTAATACTACTCGAGATTTGTGTTTTCCATCCTTGAAGCTATCCTTGTACGTGTACTCCCGTAGGATATTCGACTTGAACCCTAAATAAATTGTCGGTACGAGCCCGTCGGAGGCGGCTTTTCTATTCGAATTCTATATTATATACATGTTACTACGATATTTTTAACAATTTTGACAATTATTATTATAACTGTTGGAATTTATAGCATATTAAGGTAGTTTTAATACATTTTGTTTGCCTTGTGTCTCCGGCATAGAATCACCTCAACCTTTTTCCCGTGGGTGTCGTATGAATAAGGGAACTTAATGATCGAGATCCCAATTATGCATGGTGTTAGTCGATCATGCACGGGCTTTTTAACGGCCATGTAATTTTAGAAATAGTACATTTAAATAAATACAAATATTCTCAACAGATATTTAAAACAGTAAGTGTTTAGTTTCTTCCGGGCTTTTCTTGACAGATAACAACTTTCCGAACTCTGCATTCATAAAAAAAATTACGATTTAAAAGTGCTTGTAAATAAGTCTAAATGAATAAAAATGGTTTGAATTTGAATTTGAGGGATGGGCAGCAGTCTCTCTTAACATATCACCAAAGTTAAACTTTACCGGTTGCGGTTACCAACCCGCCTACCAAGCATAGTAACTATGCTACACAGATAGCACTGTATTGCACTTGTAAAACTCCCTTATGGGAGCGGCTTGCGTTCAGCAATGGACAGTAAAAAGTTGATAGATAGATAGATAATCTATTTGCATTACTTACAGCACACAAATTACAACATACATATACAAAAAAAGCGAGATAACATAAATGATAAAAAAAAAAATTACATAAAGCTTAATGCAATTTTCGTTTGTGAGTGTGCCATAGCAATACAAAATGGCCACAACTCAGTTTATTGCTTCGCCCTCAAAAGAGCAAAGCACTGATATTCTGATGAATACGCTTTATATTCGACCTTCGGGGATCCAATTTTAAAACCCACAGCCAATTATGTGTAGTAGTTTTATTAGGTTATTTTTTTACTTAAAATGCGAGCAAAGCTATGGGATATAGCTAGGTGCCTATAAAAGAATTTAATATGTTTCGTATCAAATCAAGATTAATTAATTTCAAAAGTAATATAAGTCTATAAAGGACAGTAAAAATCTGTTAGCCAGAAGTATCCATTGTTTTTTAACAAACAAATAAGGAAAAGGAGCGGAACGAAATAAAAAGTAATTACAGGCTTACGATTTGCAATAAAACACATTTAATTGAGTACAAAATCTGCACAAGATTATTATTTAGTAATATTTATTATTTAGTTACTTTTTAATTTAAAAATATCAGAGATTTTATTATTGAATTTTGTTATTACTAAAAAGGAGTAATAAAACTGCAACAGCTGATTGATGGTAATAAAATTAAATGGCTGAATATTGGCAATAATAGTTTTTATAAATTAATACACATACATTTTTAAATTCTTATTAATAAAAATTTTAAAATAATAACCAGATATATTATTAATTGTATTACTCATTATAAGTAAACAAATAATCAATTTTTTCTTTTTATAATATTAGTATAGATAAAGCTCATTGGGAATTTAATTGGTTATTCTAAGCCATCTATTATTAAGTAGAGTATAGACTGTCTCTATTTGACAATAGATAGCGTAACAAAATAAAACTATGAAAAAATGCTAAATCTATTAAAATTGTAGTGATGGAAGTTGAGCAGTATATCCGAGCGAAGTTGCAGGCAGAGCATAATGTCAGAATAATGTCTTTATTTATTCCCTCTGCCAAAATAATTTATTACCTTTTTTGCTAATTGTGTTAACCGTAATACTTGTTTGTCTGTAAGACACACTAGTGTTTTCTAGTTATATCTCTAAGATTTATTTAGACAATTTTTTGCTCTACCACTCTCGTATTTATAACTAGAGTTGCGTCGTAACTTACTTGTTGATTTATTAGTGGATTCTGCCCAGAGAATATTCTAGTTCAATGACCTGCACTGTTATGAGTCATGAAAATGATAATTCTTTATATTGGTTTTGTTTTTTAGCTCTATCCCTTGGAGTTTCTTATGTGTATTAGAATAAACAATCTATGTATTACATTGAACTCAAATTTATTTAGTCATTTAAGCATAATTCAGTAACAAATATTTAAATATAAATATTTATAATTAAAGTAGGATATTCATTTCTCATGAAGTAACAAGTTTATTTTTTTTAAATACTATTGCCATTTGGATCGAGTTCGAAAAGTTTAAAAATGTTCATACGTGTTTACTTGAATGTATTATTGCATGTAAAGTTACCGTTTAATATTAAATGTTGATGACAGTGTTGATTGAAACTCTATAGTACACATTTTTGACAATAAAAATTGAAAAGTTGTAAAAAATGTAATAAAGTTGTCTAAGAAATATATCTGCATTGAATTGTATAACTCTAGGTACCTATTATGAATTCAGTTTATAAGCTGAAAGTGATTGAAAACTATTTAGAGCGTGACACTAATGCGCAGTCATGCATATGTTATTGACACGTCGACTAAAACTGCACGTATTCCCATTACAGATGGGCAAAGCACCGGGTTTAAACCCGGTGCTTTGGTAAAAACCCAATAAACACCCATAAACTCCCATAATCACCCAAAAAAATAGGTTTTTACGTATTTTTTTGAAAATATGTAAGTAATACCAATAAATTATTTTTATAAATTGTATTGATCAATTCTACAATATTAAATAAAACGTTAACTAATAATATTTCAGGAAATTTTAAAAATCTATATATAATAAAATGAAAGTAATTAATTTTCAGTGTTTTCATGTTGCAGTTGATCAACATGTTGGCCTTTTGCTTCCCGTAGATACTTTAAAATTTCTTCATAACACCTCGTTCGCACACATGGCCGTATATATTTAAATTCTTGAGCCACTAACAGTCCGAAATACTCATTTCTTTTATCCTCTTCTCCATAAATTAAGCATTTAGAACAGTTTGTTTCTTCTTTCAGTAAATTTTCTTTTACTTTATCCTCGTTTTTTTCTTTGTTGCGACGACGCTGGGTAAATCATCTGGACACTGGGTCTCACTATCGCCAAATATATTTGGAGATCGGCTTCGGCTACGGCTTGGCAGACATTTTTTTCTTTCTACAATTTTAAATTAAATTTATTAGAATAAATGCTTCGAACACACGCGATCTAAGTACCTTTTGTGTTTATTATACCTTACCTACCTAGGTATAAAAAGAGTACTTACGTAGATTTTCTTTTATTAACTGTTTTATACGAAGATCTTGATCTCTCAAATTAGCATCCATTTTACTTCCAGTGATTATCAACTAAATTAATAATCCACAAAGTATTAAATAACGTTTTTATGAAATATTTAGCACAAAAACAATACCCTTTAAATATCGATCGTCAGTAACTGTGGCTGACTTACCTATATTCTAGCAAGCAGGACTGCCAGATGTGAAGGGGAAATCCCCAATAAATTGTTGCATGTGACTGATGATGTGAGCATGTTCGTTTCATAATAAAAATGTTGCCAGGTAACCAAAAAGTCGTATGTTTTTGTGCGAATTACGATCATAATCTTTACGATCGTACATTAAAAAATAGACAAATAATAGTATGAGTACGATTTAAATCGTATATCTGTCAACCCTGCTAGCAAGACAGCGACAAAATCACGTTGCATAACAATGTAGCCCAAGCTTATATCTTATGAAATATACGGAAGAGATACGGACTTAGAAAAAACAGAAATGTTGTTCTTTGTGGAAGTCATTGATGAAATTCTATGTATTTTAGCCCGCAAACTTTCTTCAAACAAAAACAGCGCCATCTAGTATCGAGTTCTGTAATTATCTCTTTGTTTATGGATTTGAAGTAAGACCGCCACGCATGCAATACATTATGACTGGGGATTCCCCTATTCGTCGACGCTGAATATGAGGCGACGACAATCACTGTCAAACGTGTTCACTATTACTCTGACTCTGGTAACGTGACTTCCTGGTAACGTGTTAGGTAGGAAAAGCAGTAAAAAAGTGCATATTAAGGGAGCAGATTTGAAATAATATTTATACTTAACAAGAAATAATTAAAGGTAAGTGGATTTTTGAATGATACAATTATATCATGATCACTTAACAATTTTAACTTAAAATTAGATGTATTATTACAAGCTTTTATTTAGCTTGCGTTATGTAAATAAAAGTATGTAGGTATGTTCGTATGTTGATGCAATTATCCTCAATCCTCAACCGACTGGGATAAAATTTTCCATACACGTTTATTTTGGATGATAGTGCATAGTTAGCTGAGAGTCGTCATTGGATAATAATGGTGGATAGCCTAAGATGTGTACTAGATATTTATTTTTAACATAATATGCGTAAGTACCTAATCGAATTAAAGAAGTTGCTGAGAAAAATACAGAACAATACGATAATAAACTAGCGTCTGCGTTTAATCCTCCGAGGAGATGTAATTTTACAAAGGTTTTTTGTATTTATTTTATTATTTTTTTAATAAATTTATTGTAAATAACAAGAAATAATCATTGTAAAAAAATAGGCACTCTATTGTTGAATTTTCGTCAGACCAACTAATCATCGTTCATTTTTTTAGGTTCAATGGGGAGACCTAAAGATTTACGCATATGGGAGCACTACCGTACTTTACCAAACAAGTCTGTTTCTTGCAAGCTTTGTAATAAGGTCTACAAATTCAGTAATGCTGCCAAAATGCTTCAACATCTTATCACTTGTCCAAAATCTCCAGAAACATTAAAAGACTCTATGAAACTTATAAAAGATAGCTCGTCCAAAACCAAAATGTCTGGACTGTCAGAGATAGAGACAAATGATTCTTTTATAAGCCCCTCGTCGTCTGCTAACACTACAATAAATGCTGAGTTTCAAGACACCGATGATCATATAAAAACAGAATTAGCGAGAGCTATATTTGTAACAGGGACGCCATTATCGATGGTGCAACATCCTTTATGGATACAATTTTTCGAAAAATTGCAACCAAAATTTAAAATACCTTCACGTAAAGCTTTAGCGACAAAATACTTAGATAAAATATATAGAGAAATGCGTTTTGAGTTAAATGAGGAACTAAATGCTTGTAGTTACTTACACCTTCAGTGCGATGGCTGGTCTAATTTAAGAAATGAAGGAATAATAAACTTTCTTATATCAAAACCTCAACCTGCATACGTTAAAAGTTTGAATACAGAAAGTAATCCTCACACTAGTGAATACCTTAGCCAAGAAGTTGAAAAAGTAATGAAAGTGTATGGAGCAAATAAGTTTCTTGTACTTATTGGCGATAACGCTAGAAATATACAAAAGGCATTCGAATTAACAAAACTCAAATATCCACATGTTGTTCCTCTCGGTTGCTGTGCACATATCCTTAACTTGTTGTGCCAAGATATTGTAAAGATACAAGAAGTAACTGTGTTTATTATGCAAGCCATAAATATAATAAAAACTGTTAAAAGGAGTCAACGATTAAGTTCCTTGTTGATAAAATCAAGGCAGGGTGAAGATTCTACACAAACACTAAAATTGCCTTGTGCTACAAGATGGGGAAGTCATGTTACTTCGTTAAAAAGTTTGAAAGCAAATAAGATAGCTTTGCAAATATTAACAGTTAGAGAAGATGTGGTAATTTCAAGAGATATTAAAGATTTAATTCTAAGTGATGATTTCTGGACGAAGACAGGGGAATGTATAAGTATTTTGGAACCAGTCACTGAAAGCATATTTTACTTAGAGAGCGACCAGAATCGTTTGCATCGCACATACATTACATTTAGAGATGTACAAGCTAAGATACGTTTTGCATTAAATGAGATTTCGACATTGAGCGAAGAAAGCAAACAGCAGATTCTAACATCAGTATCTTCAAGATGCAATATGGCAATGAGGCCAATACATTTTGCAGCATATATTCTAGACCCCAGGACTCTAGGAGTCGAACTTACTCAAGAGGAAGAACTTAAGGGTATGGAGTTTATCTACAATTTAAGCCAACACTTAAGTTTGTCAAATGTAATGGCAGATTTGGCGTGTTATAAAGCTAAAGAAAACTTTTGGGCCAGAGGATTTGTATGGAGCTCATTAGATAGCATTGAGCCCCTAATATGGTGGAAAGGTATTTGTGGTTCCACTGAGTTAAGCAAAGTAGCGATTCGTATTCTATCAGCTCCCTGTACTTCGGCAGCCACTGAGCGTTCCTTTAGTATCCAAGGCTACATACATAATAACAAAAGAAATCGACTTACAACTGAAAGAACTGAAAAAATTTCATTCATTTGTTATAACTGGAATCTTAAACATAAAGCTGAATGCGAGGACATTCAGTTTAATGAAGAAAATACCTTAGAAGCTTTCATTGAGCAAGTAAATGAACATAACAGTTTAGACGAAATAGAGCCTATCGAACCTATACAATTCATCGCTTGTAATAACTCTGAATCTGACAGTGATTGACTGTAGTTTTACATTTTACTTTCATCTCTTTCTTAATAAACTCAAAATCAAATTAAAAGTTTTTTATTCTGTAGGCTGCATAATAATATTGTCTATGTCCAGTATAGTGGACGTCTTGCGGCTGAGATGACGATGATGAAGTACAAAATCATAAACACCCAAAAATTTGGGTGTTTATGGGGTTTAAACCCAATAAACCCAAAACACCCGGTTTTTACCCACCAGACTTTAAACCCACCCAGGTGGATTGCCCATCTCTAATTCCCATTCAATTGGTATTGTCAAGGACGCAAATACATTGACAATTGCGATTGATCATCTCGGGATCGCTTCAGACAAAGGGCTAGGGTCAATGGCCATTTCCTTCTCGCTAATATTTATTGTTCCTACGTTTCTATTGTATAGAACATATCGGCACCACCTGCGACAACTAAATACATTTCCCAGATTTTGGGTATTATATTTGGTAGGTTATCGAGTTATTTATTACGTTTATTGTTAAGATAACATTTCTAATGTTAGTATATTATTTATTGGAAACAGTTGGTGTGGTAGATAAAGAGATTAAGGAATAATGGTTGCGTTGATTGGATGTGGTTTTCCTGCATCAACCCAAATAATACGGAGGGTTTTACGTTGAATTACTTGTTTGGTTCTAAGGAAGATTGTCTGGTGCTGTCATTACTGCTTCGTTGCATTGTCTTATTACTGGAATGAGAAATACTATTACCATTACTTTATTTATTAATTACTAGTAATAATAGATAATTATTGAAGTATGATGTTATCTATAATAGTTGTTATTATTGTTTAATCTATTGTTTTCAACGGACTTCAAAAAAGGATAATGTTTTTAATTTGTTAGTATTTTTTATATTTTTTTTATACAACTTAGAATGGTAAACAAGCTGACGGCCCACCTGATGGAAAGTGGTAACCGTCGCCTATAGACATGAGCAGTACCATGGACATAACAGAGTATACTGTTTCGCCCATGATACCCCCCATGCGTTGCCATTCCTGAGGACTCAGGTGTTATTCCTCTGTATCCAGTAAATTCACGCCATTTTCCACCCTTCAAACCGAAACACATCCATGCAAACACAACTGCTTCACGGCAGAAACACGAATGGGAAAAAGGTACCCAAGCAATCGACTTTTGTACAAAGTTACCTCATATCTCCATCATATTAATCAATTCGAAAAAATCTAATAGTCCAGGTAGAAATTAATAGATTATCTTCGGTCTACACCAAGATAGGTTTGTGTCAGAGTACAGATTTAATACGGTCCTGTCTTCACTAAACACGAAATCTCTGACCTCTAATCGGTCTATGACTTCATAATAGCTAACTTTAGAAGATATCAATATATTATCAGAATAAGAAAACATTTTTATTTACTTATAACCAATATGGATGTATCTATTGTAAAAAGAATTACCAAAATTGGTTCAGAAATTAAATAAATAAATAAATAAAATTATAAATAGATTTATTTCTCTTCACAATTCATTACAGTGAAATACAATGCTTATATTAAACAAATTATAAATATAATTGTGAGAGACTGGTGCCTAAGATAGGTATAAGAATACCTGTATTACAGGTCACCAGGGCCTCACTCCGCAGGGTTACTTACTAAGTATTTGTAATATAATAAGTGAATTCAATGTAATAAATATAATTTATAGGAAGATATAATTAATTATAATTTAATCTGGATTGGCACATAATCACGCAATAAAATAAATCATTATAACCTTCAAGAAAATAGCATATCCCTTTTTAAATCGCCGGCAGCACACCTGCAATGCCGTTGGTGTTGCAGGTGATCATGGGCGGCGGTAGTCACTTACCATCAGGCGAGCCGCCTGCTCGTTTACCCCCTTTGTTATAAAATAAAATCAACACTCACAAACAAACCTTTTGGAAGTTATTAAGAAAGAATCTATTGCATACTATAAGTTAATGACATATGTAGATATACGTAACGTACCTATATAAACATTCACGGATCGTTAGTAATCCTTGTGTGGTAATCAATCCATCATAACGTCGCGTCGTCGGGGCGAAGAAATAATGTATTACTCTCTTTTATTGCGTTTTGTGTGATTTTATTATCGGTAATCGTGGGTCCGAACGGTTGAACCGTTTTATTTCTTTGTATGAAAACACATACCTATGCAATATGTTTGTTTTTTTTTTATTGAAATAAGAAAGCGTAGGTGGACAATGAATAGAAGGTGAAATAGAAGGAAGGAGGGGGAGAGGGAGACCGAGACATAGTTACATCAGGCAGATCAAGGAAGGAGTTGGTGTCGTGTCGTATCAAGAGGTGAAGAGACTCGCTGAAAATCGTAGTGAGTGGCGAGAGCTCCACCGACAAGAGCGCAGCTCTTAAATAGGATAAATAGGTGAACAATGAGAAATGTATGATGGATGAAAATGTTTATTCGCTTGTATTTTTAGTAAATTTTAAAGAGTAATTGTACGCGTATTTAAATTATTCGCATAGAGAATTTCAGTTTTGCAGAAAATGTACGTTATAATATTGTGAAATGAAATATTGCAACTGTAATATTAAATCACTTTCTCTTAATTAATATATAAAGTGGGAGATTGCAGAAATGTTATCTTTATTCATATTTATAAACAGAACTGACAGTTTGTACAAATTAACTGTACAAATTAAACAGTTTGATATTAAAATCATAGACAAAATACGCCATTTTGTAATCACGTGATTTAACTATTAAAAATTTAGAATTTTTTTTGTGTTTTTGAGAAAACAATCTAATTATAATTTTTTTTAATTTTCAAGTCGATGGTAAATTAAGTATTTTCTAGATAAGGGCGCTGTATGTCAGATTTTATCATTACTTACCATCAGGTGAGATAAGGTCAAGTGTGAACCTATCTTGTAATAGAAAAACCCCTTTGTGGAGTGAGATTTTATTCAAATTCGTCCGGCTGTTTATACATAACAAACATCCAAATATCTTCAATAGTTTAATAAAATATTTGACTCACTCAAAATGTCCTTTTTAACAATAGTTTAAGCTGGTAATTCACAAAAGAAACCGCTTTCAATTGTGACAAAATCAGTAATTTTGGTCTTAAAACTAAGCTTATAAACCGATTTTGATACAATTTCTATAGAATCAATTTGTATGTAATTCCCTTCAGATAAAAAAAGAAGAGTTTGCCGATTTTTTAAATTTTGACGTCTTGACGTTTTTACCAATTACTACAAAATTTAGATAGATAGATAGATAGATAATTTATTTACATTACTTACAGCACACAAATTACAATAAAAAAAAACATACATATAATAAACAGTAAAAGAGATAAAAGAATGAAAATAAAAAAGCAACAAAACAAAAAAAAATATATAAACTTTAGTATACAGGTACTAGGTATATGGAATGGTATAGGCTACTTTTTATGTTGGTTAGTAAATATAAATCCGTTACGCAGACGAAGCCGCGGGTAAAAGCTAGTTACATATAACGGCAAAGATGAGTATTTACTTATATATTATATATATTTAGTATGTAGCACGGTAATACTTACGTTGCCGACTTCATAACAAGATTAGTGCAGTCATTACATGCGTGGGCCTCGGCGATGTAGATTTCCACTTAACGTTCGCCCTCGAATTACACCTCAAAGAGCCAAGCTAAAGCAAAATATTATTAAAACTTGCATGCTAAAAAAAGGTCAGTATTATTAGGAATTTGCGATTATCAAAATTGTAACTTTGATTTATTATAATGTTTGTGATTTGTAATATATATATATATATATATATATATATATATACCTTTTATTAGTAAAAAGTAAAACGTCTTACAAATCTATTTTAATTATTAGGGCATTTTGCAATTTTTTTTTTTACATTGGAAATTTTGTGTAAAAGAAAACGATAAAACATTTCAATGCAATAAAGATTTATAAGAACTTTGATGTTATTATGAATAAGAGGATTGCGTGAGAATGATAGTTAAGACCTAATGGCTACATTTCTAAACGAAGATAATTTTAAGAAGTTTTTACCATTTTATAGATTACCACATTTTTTTACTATCGTCGTGTAGCCTAACATAACAATTCCACGATTAAAACGAATCTTGCAACACCCCGTTTTTTGAAATCCATTAAATCGTTTAGGTTATTTCCTCTTATTTTTATTGAGAGTCAGGTAAAAAGAAGCTATTATTATGTAAGTTGCATTTTATTTTTAAATTTTTATGGAAACTAAAGAAATCTAGTGAAATATCAAGTTGCACTCAGAGTGTCATGGCAAAATAATGCATCGTTGTTTGTTGTTTCCGCGAAGACTTGGCGTTATTCACTGTCGTGCTCTAGTATCCTTTAAGAGGCAGGAGCGCGAGGAAATTTATGCAGGCCGTTGCGATGAGGTCGCTCCGTAACACTCGCTATCGTATATTATGGAAAATAGGATTTACGGATGACATTGTAGAGTGAGTCATTCAAAAACACTATTTTCATTGTCCGTATGAAGATTATTTTATCACTTAAGATCCGATTTTTATCCGGCTGCCTGAAGGAGGATTTTTGAGATACTATTACTTAATGTATCACCATGGCTAAATGCGCCTGCGTCTTTATCGTGATCGGGATAAAAAGAAATTCGTTTATTTACAGGTTTCAGATTTTCTCCTTTACTTGTGCTACATGACATTGCTTCTTGCCAAATTTCATTATTTTAGGTCAAGCCTATAGGTTTTGATTCCTTTTGTGAATGTTAAAATATGCGATATAAATGGAACATAAACGGTCGTATCTTTTGATTGCGTCGATTTAGAAGCTTGATTTCTCCACTGCTTTAGGAGATTGCAGACCTGAGTATATGATATTAATTTCAACTTGATACCTTCACGCGTTCCTAAGAAAAAGAGTCTTGACAGACGGATGAACGGACAACGAAGTGATCCTATAAGGGTTTTGTTTTTTCCTTTAGAGGTACGTTTCTCCAGAGGGAGATTGTATAAAAGTCGATTGCTTGGGTACCTCTGTCCCATTCGTGTTTCTACCGTGAAGCAGTTGTGTTTGCATGGCTGTGTTTCGATTTGAAGGGTGGGATATGGCGTGAATTTACTGGGTACAGAGGAATAACACCTGAGTCCTCAAGAATGGCAACGCATGGGGGGTATCATGGGCGAAACAGTACACTCTGTTATGTCCATGGTACTGCTCATATCTATAGGCGACGATTACCACTTTCCATCA